GAAAGAAAGAAAGAAGGAAAGAAAGAAAGAAAGAAAGAAAGAAAGGAAGGAAGAAAGAAAGAAAGAAAGGAAGAAAGAAAGAAAGAAAGAAAAGAAAGGAAGAAAGAAAGAAAGAAATTCATCTGTCTTTTCTTTTTGGCAGTATTAGTTTGGCAGTATTAGTTTGAACTTATGGCCTCATACAATTACTTTACTGCTTGAACTATGCCTTTTTTGGTTTAGTTGTTTTTTTAGATAGGCTCTCCATAAATTTTGCATTGTCTGGCCTTGAACCGTCATTCTCCCATGTCTATCTCTCACACATCAGATTACAGGTGTGATCCATCACTTCTAATCTAGAACAACAAATGGAAAGAGTATTCCATTATATTTAGACCCTTCACAGAAAAGTCAAAATTGGCATATTTGCTCTAAGTTTCTGCTTTAGAATACATGAATTATATGCAACAATGATTATAACAATTTCACTGTAGAATTGATAGTTATATATAACAATACCACAAGAAGGGGTAAGGAAACAGAGGCTTTTATATGAGTAATGCTCACTGAAATTGTTAATATAAATCTAAATCTGTTTCTTTTTTTATTTCAATTTTGAGACTTAGTCTCGTCCTGGATTCCACACTGTCCTTGAACTCATTATGTAGCCAAACTGGCCTCAAACTCTCTGCTATTTGTGTCTATACCTTGTGAGTGCTGGGATCACAGAAATATACTACCATGTTTTGCTAAATATGAAGCTATTTCTGATAAGAGGGATATGGTAGACTTAGAGTAATCACTGAGAAAATAGCATCACAAATACTATCAATAACAAAGAAAGACATAGCAAGTTAAAAAATGAGTGAAATTTTAAAGTAATTAAGATTTTTTTTTTGTTGGTTGAGGGCTTGAACTCAAGGCCTGGGCACTGTCCTTGAGCTCTTTTGCTCAAGATTAGTGTTCTACCATTTTGAGCCACAGTGTCACTTCCTTAAAACATTTTGACTAAATGTTTTATTAGAAAATACTGACTGCAAACAAAATCAGTAAAGAGTAGAACAAACATAAGAGATAGGGAAAATTAAAATGGTGAACACAAATTAGCTGTTATCAATAGTAACATTAAATGTAAATGAGTTAAATAATTGCATAAAAGGCAGTGATTGTGAGACTACATGAAATACTAGATCTATTTATATGTTGTCTATGGGCAACACACTTTAGATTCGAAAGTATCCTAGATTAGGGTACAGGGATGGAAAAAATGCATTTTAAATACTAGCCACAAGAAAAGTGGAATGGTCATGCTAATATCAGATAAAATAGACATTAAAAGAAAAAGTGTCATTAGATATAAAGCTGGACACATTATAATGAAGAAAAAGGTAGTCTATCAGGAATATATAACAATTGTAAACATACACATACCTAACAGCAAAGCATCAAAATTCATGCAGCAAAAAAACCTTGCAAATATGAAAGGAAAATAGATAATTCAACAATAATGTTTGGAGTTCTCAAAACCCATTTAGATAATAGCTAGAATTATTAAGCAGAAGACCAACAATGTTACAAAACAATAGAACAAGGGGCTGTATGAGGCTATAGCTTACAGAGCATATACTTAGTATGGACAGGCTCCCTTCCAACAAAGTGCCTGGAATATTCTCAAGTATCTTGGAGTAAACTTCATTCTAAAGCATAAAAGAAACCTCAATTTTAAAAAGATAAAAACAATAGCATGTTCTGTGATCACTATAAAATGAAATTAGAAGTCAGTAACACCCAGGGTGCCACTGGCTCACACCTGTAATCTTAGCTACTTAGGAAGCTGAGACTTAGTGGACTGAGGGTCAAAGCCAGTCCAGGCAGAAAAGTCTTCCAGACTTCCAATTAACCAGAAAAATGCTGGACAGGACGTGTGACTCAAGTGTACAGCAACAACCATGAGGAAGAGGCCCTGATTTCAAGCCCTGTTGCCAGCATAAAGAAGAAGATGGAGAAGAGTAGAAAAGGAGGAAGAGGAAAAAGAAGAAAGGAAGAGATGTGGAAAACACATTATTTGGAAGCTAAACCACATATTTCTAAATAATTAGTAGATTAAAGTGGAATGAATCAAAAGGGAGATTAGTAATATAGATGAGAGGTTAGAGGTTTAATCTCTAGGTGATATATAATGAGCAATCACAACTTTTCTGTTATCGCAAGGGAATATTCAGATACTGTTTCATTATGAAATCCACTGTGATAATAAATCAACAATATTCAAACTAGATGTTCAAAGTTATTGCAAGCATCAACTTTTGTGATTTAAATACTGTTCAACATTAATTCCTCTTACGTGCTAACTGCTACATATCAATGTGCCTTACCTTTCTGTGTAAATTTGATGCCTTTTTAAAGTATTAATGTCTCTGTTTTGCCTTTCATGTTTCATCTTTTTGGCTTGAAAAATATGAGAATCTTTCTCATATATATCACTGGATTGAAAACTATTTTCTTCCAGAGAATTTTTTTTGGGGGGGTCCGGTAGTGGGGCCTGAACTCTGGGCCTGGGCGCTGTCCCTCAGCTCTTCACCTCAAGGCTAGCGCTCTACAACTTGAGCCACAGCGCCACTTCTGGCTTTTTTCTTT